GACAAGTAGCGATAGACGTTTTCGCGCCGATAACAATATGCCGCCTTGTAAAATATGCCCAAGACAGATTTCCCAAAAGACCTCATTTGTTTTGTGATGTGATAACAGCAAAATGAATGATGCGCCTCGGGGAACACTATTGGGACAGAATATATGATAGACTCATGTCTATCCGATACGATGATGAGGTTTTCAGGACAACCATAGGCCCTTTTCAATTGAGTCAAAAACCAACTCCAAGTCTCACGGCGCTCTACATCACCAATTCCAACTGCGAGGGTAAAGATTCGGTGATTCCCGTCCAATGTGGTTGCAACAAACACAATGCCCTTGTATTTTCCCTTCAAGTGGGTACCATCTATCACAATTATCGGGACACCAGCTCGTTGAAAGCCCTCAATGCTAGCTCCTAGAGCAAAGAACAAGTGTTGGACTACCTCGCCATCTCGTTGCAGTTCGACAATTGTACCAGGATTACGAACCTGCAACATGTGCAAGTAACCGGGAAACCGCCACCATGATTCTTCATGACCTCCATAAACTTTTTCAAAAGCACAGTGTCTTGCTCGGAGGGACACATTGTAGCTGATCGACAAATCATGATCCTCCCGCATTTGTTCAATAATTTTCTGTGTAGATACCATCTGGGGATTTGTCAGAATAGTTGGTGCGTAAATATGAGCGAGAACCTTGGAATTAGCCGAACGATGTCGATTGTGCGTCGAACTCCCTTTGCATGTATGCTCGAGTTTCAAAGTAGTGATTCTCCATATATCTCGCTTTGCCCTTGCACATAACTTGTAAGAACACCCTTCATACCGACAAACAGATAGTAACCTAGAAGTGCAGGATTTGGGTGTTCGACACTCAACTTTTTGTTGCAAGTGATACAGTTGAATGGCACAAATCAACTCTTCTTTCGAAAGAAAGACAGACCCCAAAGATAATTCTATATTGTTCGAAGGTAAGTGGATGGGTTGTCTATCTGATCCAGTTTTCGAGGGCGGCATAGGAAGGGACCACATTCATGGCTCAACGTCGGATTGTCGGGTGCTACCTCGATTCATATATGCAAGACTTTGAACCTCAATATGGTCGGTGTTTAATCTTAGCTCTTCAATATGCTCGCTATACCACGCCCTGAAAAGCTTGAACATTTGCTTCTCATGGACCTCTTTGTCTTCGTCGCCTGAGTCACCATTGTGCGTGTTGGTTTGGTCATCATTATTGTCATCATCACGAGAATGACCTGGTTGGTTCGAACAACCCGCGGTTTGATCATCAGCGCCCCGAGGTTATCCAGTATGTGTAAATGAACTAGGGCCTGCTTGATGTGAATATGGGGCCTCGTGGGAAAATGCAGAACTACCAACACCAAAAGAACTCGGAAATACACCTTGGGACGCCATCATTTGCGTGAAGCTTTGTTGCGCCGTCCCCGGAATCCCTACATTTACTCGCTTCTCCAACTCCACGTAAATGTTGGGAGGTTTTTGTTCTTCAATCAGCTCTAAGATATCCTCATGGATTCGATTTTCATCTTCACATTTCGTTCCCTTCCATCAAATACTGCCCACAATATGTACTCAAAATTACAAGGATCGGCCTTGAATAATGCTTGAACACGAGAAACTACTTCAGAATACATTTGTCGGCTGTAATTTATTCTCATCAGCTCTGCCACTCCACCAAGATATGAACCCCCAGAAAACGTACCACCATAGCTCACGCATACTCTAACACAGGTGCTAGCCATTCAAATAAGTGAACAACAAAAGGAATTAAAACGAAAGAAACAGAAAATTGTAGTAGAGAAGAATGGTGCAGACGTTGAATTGTTAGAGATCACTGTTTTTTTGCCTGCATGATAAATGCACAGACAAAATCTTCACCTGTGAAAAAGCAGTCAGTTAATGAGGTGCGTAACTTATGCGACAGATATGCGATCAAATTCCGAATAGTCGTAACATTGCCATGACGATATGGCCCTGCGAAAAAATGACGCGTAATCGTCAATTAAATTATGCTTTATTCGATTTTGTTATGCGATTCTTCAACATGCGAGCGAAAAAATTTCGCATCATTGTCAATTATCCGGCGGATATATGCGGAAGTTTTTCGCATACTAGTAAATTATGCGATTGACTTGGATATGCAATTTCCAGAAAATGCGAATTCAACAAATAATGCGTATTATATGCGAAAAGTTTTCGCACAGTCATAAATTTGCAAGGTCGATATAGCCCTGCGAAATAAGGCGCATAATCATCGTAAATTATGTTGCACTCGATTTTGATATGCGATTCTTAAAACTGCGAAAAATGTTCGCATATTTGTAAATTATGCATTTGATGTGGATATGCGATTACAAAAATGCGAAATGTTTTCGCATAGTCATAAATTATGCGTCCGGTTGGATATGCGTTGGTTCATTTGGACATGCGAGAGTAATATCGCATAACATTTCGTGAGTTTTGGGGTGTAAAAGAAGTTATTTGATGGGGCGGTGTGTAAAAGAAAGAATAGATTTATAACGGGGTGAAAAAGATTTTGACCCCTCGGGTATTACCCTGTTGGGGTCTTTTGTTTGTTAGTTTTTCATTCTCCCCTTGGGAGTTTTAGGGTTGTCTGTGTTTAGTTTGTGTGTCCGAGTATTACCCCGTTGGGGTCGGTTCTAGGCGGACTTCGATCCTGTCCTGCCAGTTTATTCTGCTGCTGGCGGCTTGTATTCAGCTATTGGCTGTCTACATCCAGCTTGTGGTTGTACTTTGCTCTTTTGTGCTTTTTTATATAAAATTTCTATCGTTCCGAAAAAAAAAAATCATTATTATTATTTGCAATTTGAAAATTTTGGTATAATAAATCAATAATAAAAGAAGAACACATACAAATAATTTTTTATTCTTCAAATCAATAATTATGTCGAAGTACATAGAAGACTAACTATAATGCTCTCCCAATCTAACATCTAATAAAACAAATGTATGACAGATATTAAAACAAAAATATGAACATCCCCAACATGGGTCGTCAAACATATTAAAGTTAGGGTATGTTTGGTAAGCCAAATAAGCTAGCTTATAGCTTATTTGGTTAGCTTATAAGCTCCCTGTTGAAAATAAGCCTCGTTTGGTAGGACGAGCTTTTTTAAAAAGCTCGAGCTTATTTCATAAGCTACTTTAGGTAGCTTTTCAAATAATCTAGTTGAATTTTTTATTTCAGCTAGCTTATCAGCTAATTTACCAAACACCTTTTATCATATAAGTTAGCTTTTCAGCTATAAGTCATAAAGCTATAAGCTATAAGCTCAAAAATTACATATAAGCTATAAGCTAGTTTTTCAGCTATCAACTAGCTTATCAACTAGTTTTACCAAACATAGCTTAATGTCTTCATAATGTTCATCTTCAAAATCACCTTCATTGTCAACTCCATTCCTTATATCCATATCTGTGTAGAAGGCTAAAAATTTTGAATTTGCTCCATCAGTTGCATCGTCATCCTGCTGAAATAACTATTCATTTATAAGTACATTATTTACACTATTTAGTAAATTTTAGCTTTAACAATGACAAAGATTTTTCTTAAAAGAATACAAATATAGTCACATATCCAATTTTTTACTCCTACCTTGAAATAAAATTCTTCTAGGAAATAAGTGAGCCTCTTCATAGAAACGTAAATAAAAACTAATTAGGAAAATGTTCAATAACTAAAAGAATACAAAGATAGTCATATATGCATAAATGAAATGAAAAGAAAAAAATGTAATATAAATAAATGCTAATTTAGACATCAATAACCATATAAGAACTATATGCTTTTGAATATAGAACTTTTATATTAGAAAGCAGGCTCATGAAAATTTATTATAAAAGGCATACCCCTCTAGCTAGTTAATCTAATAAAAATTCAAAACATATAATGTGGATTCTACCATTCATTTATATAAATTGTTTAATGTGTACACACAATACATAGAAAAGCAAACAAAGACAAAAGCTTTATACAATCTGGTAGATAATGGATGAAGTAGAAAATTCATACCTCACCAAACGCTTAAAAGATGGGAAAGCATGCAACTGAAAAGGACAGAAACATCCACAAATTTTCATAGCATCATGTGCACGAGCTTAACCAAAACAACCTGTAACATGGAACCCTTGACTACTTACCAGAGTAACTAGTCACGTGGTCCATCTTTACACCAACCAGTCTCTGCAATGTTTGGAAGGAATAATCATGTTAATCAATCAAATGGAACAACTTAACCAGAGAAATAATTATATAGTAACTACAGTTTTACAGTAATGGAATGTGTATGGAAAAAAAATATAAAACTTCTCTTAAAGATGTTCAACATCACACTAGGAAAAGGGTAACTCATCAGACAAACACACCTCCTCTGAAATGAAAGATGGAGAAAATCCCCGAGAGTTCATAATTTCAGTTATCTCCTGGGTGGTCTTCTAAAAAAAGTTGTGTTCTTGGCGTAAATAAATCAAAACCACATCAACTATGCTGCAAAAACACATCCCCTAGAGTTCATAATTTAAGATATCTCCTGTGAGTTGCATTCAAGGTGCTTTAGATAACAGAATAATGTGGACAAACACACTGGAACTGAGAAAGGAAAAACTAAAAGAAGCATAAGCTTTTGCACTATTACGAATATAACAAGTGGGGAATTAAATGGATACATAAGAATGAGCAAGAATGATCCACTACAAATCAAGGCAAACACATAAATGGCACATACAAGTCTACCAGGTTAAAGGAAAGTGAGAAGTCCTTAAAGCAATGTTATTCAGCTATCATTTTCTTTTCGAGCTCCGCTTCCATGAGTTCCTAAGATGTTGACTTCTATGAGTGCAATGGCTAAAAGTCAAGGAGATTAACCGAGTGATGAGGGTCGATTTGATTTATGTTTAATAAATCAAATAAAAACACACAGAAAGTAAACGATCATTCACAAAATATAAATAAGTTGATCGTAAAAATCAGGTATATACATGAAAGAACTCATTTATATCGAATTGTCGGACGAAATCCTGGGCGACCCACTTCGATTTTCTCGTCATCCTCATTGTTGTCCATGTGCCATCCATCTGTGTAGATCCGGAGGTGGTCAGCATCAGAAGAATCTGCGGGAATAAGGGGCGACGGTCGCGTGCTGCCTGGGCGATGAGGCAGATGAACCTGGATGAACTAGCTTCAGGGGGTCGGCAGCGGCATCTGGGGTAGAGAGGAAGGCGGCAGAGGACCCGGCCATCTTTATGCTATGTATGTATAGATAACATACCCTGCCATTTTTTTTTCTTCTTAAACAACTCCATATTTATATCTAAAACCCAAAATAGTTATTCTTACATACATAGCATAAAAATCATGACGAAGAACACCAAATCAAATATAAATATCACGGCTTTTCTATTTATCTCTATTCATTTACCATATCTGTGCATAAGAAGAAATAAGCAAAACCTAAGAAGAATGAACATTGTTAAAGCTGGACAAGATTGCCCTAACAGCGGATCTCATAGAAGCAGTAGCAAAATTAACAGCCACCTCAATATACCTCTTAGAATCAAAAGTCGCAGCCTTTTCCAGATTCTTCCCCAATTTTCGGGCGTTCTCGGCCATGGTGACGAAGCTATCGTGCATGGCCTCCGCAGCTCGGTCCATTTCCTTCTCGAACCGGCAGAATTCGACCTTGGCGTTTTCCATCATCGATTCCAGATACTCCTCAGAATCCCTCACCTCTTCGTGGGCTTTTTTGGCCTCGTTCTCGGCATCAAGCTTGTTGACTTGTTGATATGCTGCAGATTATGGATCGAGTTTTGGTTGATGCATGAAGACATGCAGCTCATATTTTTCCTCTTTGTTCTGTCATTTTTATGTAGTGAAAGAGTTGTAAGTCACTTATAAAATCGTGTAGCACTTTAATGCTTTGGTTTAGCTTTTTTTCCCACACACGTGAGTTCACACGTGTTGCTTAGTAAGTGGGGATTATGGGATTTGCATGTTAAGTACGTTTAAAGGGGATTGAACATTTTCTGAAACCTTGAGAGCTTGAAGCTCATCATTAATGGAGATTTGATTTCTACAGAACTCTCTCGATCGTTTTTCCATTTTTTTCTTCCTACAACCAAAACTACATGATATCCAGAGCAGGTTAAAGAATGGCGCATAACAACGAGCATAATCGCGAGCTGGCAGGAAGAGGAATCTACGCTCGTGACACAGATCCCCTGGCCCTGCACGGATCTGATCATCCTGGGTTAATTCTCGTCACAAATCCATTAACCGGTGCGAACTATCTCCATTGGAGCAGAGCGATGAACCTTGCTCTAGGCGCGAAGTCAAAACTTGGCTTCATCAACGGGACGCTGCAAATTCCAGATCTAGGATCTGAAGAACATGAACAGTACCAGAAAGTGGAATTCATGGTAATCTCGTGGCTACTTAATTCCATTTCAAAGGACATTGTAGGAGCTTTCATGTATGTCAAAAATGCCAAGCAGCTTTGGGACGAGTTAGCAGAGAGATATGGAGAGTCCAACGGGCCTTTAAGGTACAAATTACAAAAGGAAATTGCTACTTTTGCACAAGGCTCGCTATTTGTTACTGAATATTACACAAAATTAAAATGTCTCTGGGATGAATATAGTTGCCTCATATCAGTACCTAATTGTGAGTGTGGGTCTGGGAAAGCTTTTAATGAGTTGGACATGGAAATTAAGCTTATGCAGTTCCTCATGGGGTTGAATGAAGTGTTTGAGCCAGTCAAAAACCAGATTTTGTTGTTTGATCCCCTACCAACTGTAAACAAGGCATACTCCATGATCTTGAAAATTGAAAAACAGAAAGGAATTAATGCTGTCATGAACCAGTTTGAGAACTCAGCCATGATGGTGAAAGGAACTTTGGAAGAGGAACAGGGAGAGGACAAGGCTTTGGTAGAGGGAATGCAGGGAGAAACACCTTTGGACAACAGTTTAACAATGTGCCAAAAGGTAGAGGAGGCCCTAGGTTGTCAAAGGAAGAGAGAGCCAAACTTTTCTGTACTCACTGTGGGTACAATGGATATGAGATTCAAGGGTGTTTCAAATTAAACGGTTATCCAGATTGGTTTAAGGAGCTAAAGGAGCAAAGACAGCACCAAAGTGTCAACATGGCTGAAAAGGATGACTCTACTAAAGCAGATTCAAAGACAAGATCTCAGCACAGTGACTCATCATCTGACATTGGATCTATCATTGAAAAGGAAGTGGCTAAGTATCTGTCCAAGAGACACAACTCAGAGCTGCACACTTACTCACACTTTGCCAAATTGTCTGAAGATGAGGAAGATTATGCCTTCTCCATGATAAGCAAAGCTGCTAAGGGAAGTTGGGTTATTGATACAGGTGCTAGTAAGCACATTTGTTGTGATGAGGACCTATTGTGCAACAAATCAGAGATACTAGCTCCTATTTTGGTAAATCTACCAGATGGCTCCAAAATGAAGGTAACTCAGGTGGGTGAGGTCAGATTTAACAATCAGATTGTACTCAAGGATGTGCTGTTCATACCAGAATTCAAACACAATCTCCTCTCTGTGGGTCAATTGGTTGAAAAGAATGGGTTGTGCTTCTGTTTCACAAATGCAGGATGCAAATTACTAGACACAAAGGAGAGACTTGTTATTGCA